TCAGGTAAATATGATGTCTGTGATGTTACTCTGACTGTGTTTCCACACCGGGCAAGCTGAAAAAATATGCCCGGCCACGGTGGGGATCGAACCTACGATCTTTGGAATACTAGCCATTATGCTCTGCCAACTGAGCTACGCGGTCAGGACGGTTCGAGTATGTGATATTTCGGAAATGAGTCTAGTTCCTTCGACATTAATGTAATCTAATAATCATGATTTTTTATGTTGGTATTGTGTACTCAGGTGAATACGATGCTTGTGATGTTACTCTGAGTGTATTTCCACACCGTGCAAGCTGGAAAAATATGCCCGGCCACGGTGGGAATCGAACCTACGACCTCTGGAATACTAGCTTTCAAGATTTCAAGTCCGGCCAACGTTAGTTGAATTAAGAATTCTGGAATTACAGGCCAACGTTAGTTGAATTAAGAATTCAGGAATTACAGGCCAACGTTAGTTGAATTAAGAATTCAGGAATTACAGGCCAACGTTAGTTGAATTAAGAATTCTGGAATTACAGGCCAACGTTAGTTGAATTAAGAATTCAGGAATTACAGGCCAACGTTAGTTGAATTAAGAATTCAGGAATTACAGGCCAACGTTAGTTGAATTAAGAATTCAGGAATTACAGGCCAACGTTAGTTGAATTAAGAATTCAGGAATTACAGGCCAACGTTAGTTGAATTAAGAATTCAGGAATTACAGGCCAACGTTAGTTGAATTAAGAATTCAGGAATTACAGGCCAAAGTTAGTTGAATTAAGAATTCAGGAATTACAGGCCAACGTTAGTTGAATTAAGAATTCTGGAATTACAGGCCAACGTTAGTTGAATTAAGAATTCTGGAATTACAGGCCAACGTTAGTTGAATTAAGAATTCTGGAATTACAGGCCAACGTTAGTGGAATTAAGAATTCAGGAATTACAGGCCAACGTTAGTTGAATTAAGAATTCTGGAATTACAGGCCAACGTTAGTTGAATTAAGAATTCTGGAATTACAGGCCAACGACAGGCCAAGGAATTACAGGCCAACGTTAGTTGAATTAAGAATTCAGGAATTACAGGCCAAAGTTAGTTGAACAAGACGCTCCACGGAGCGTAAAGTCGCTGGGGCGATGGAAATAAGCACAAGTGATACCACTTAAGAACAGCGTGTTTGTTTTTCCGAAAACATTGAATCTTGAAGTTTGCAGTTTGCCTGGCAGTTAGCACTAATAGTTAAA